CTGAGATGACCCTTTTTTGATGCGATTTAAAACCTTTTTCCATTATTCCGCTGTAGAATGTCAGACGCCTGATCACATCATCAGCCAATCCGGCTGCCTGCATACAGCCGCTGCAACCTCCTCGCTTGGATCCGGATCGACTCCCGCTAACTCGGTCGTCAACGCCCCGGCCGGAATGAGTGAACAGAAGGCCTGTTTCGAGGTGGTTACTATCGCAATGCACAGTGTTCGCCAGTGCAAGTGTCATCGGCGTAAGGTCGAGGTGAAGCGACAGTGTTGCGTGCCTCCGCCACGGTCTAGGCTGCACTGTCAGACGGAGCGAGGACGAAAGATCCGCGTGCTGACTCGATATACGCTGGTTCAAGGCAGAGTAAGATCTCTTCAATTGGTCTTGGCGACGGACACGCTTGATGGAACCTGTAGGGAATGTGAAATTAGCACACTTTTACGGCAATGATAAATAATTCGTATCTAACTCTGGGGGCCTGGGCATTCTGGAGAGAAAAGCAAACTCTGTCTGATGCTATTATAATATTGTCTTTAGCCCATTTTACTAGAACAAGAAAAGCTAGAAATACATTATGATTTTAAGAACTCGGTTCTTGTCCAATTGAGCGCAAAAGTACTGCCTATAAACGGTCTGCTAGCTTCGCTTCAGTATCATATATCTTTTTTTTAAATATGCGAGTCTTCATTCGGACGATCAGATTAGACTCAAAAACCACCGAAGATATGGAGACAAAAGTGGTATGGCCTTTGATATGGTCGCAGTCTTCCTTCGATGAATAGAAATGGACTGACGTCGGTTTCTCAACTTGGTCGTGTTGTCAGGGCGACTTAATTGGGCGCATCTTTTCCAAAGTCCTCAAATATAGTGGTTACCATAATTTCCAGAGTCGGATCATGGACGTGGTACCTTCCAATGAGTCTTTTCATTCTCAGCACCAAGCTACAACGAGATGACGAAACGCCTGGCAATCGACAAAGTGCACTGTCTGACGTTGGGAATTATGTTAATTACTAAGGTTGAGGTCTTCAGACAAGGTTCGTCCAACTATGTCGCCCTGACAACACAACCAAGTTGTAAAAACGAGGTCAGCCCACTTCCATATTTGATCTATTAAAGATTAGCTCAATATTCATGTGGTCTAAAGAGTCGTCTGTTCGACTGTGGATCCACGCTTCGTTGATTCAATTTATGTCTAGCTAAAGCTTAATTTCTTATTCAGCTGATTTTATTTCTTTAGCAATACGTCTGCATCAATACAGTATTTTTATTTTTCCAGCTAATTTTGTAAATTAGTCTATTCTTCATCATTTTTTACTAGTCGTGTCGACTGAAAATTAGTTGAACATTATCCAGACCGACACTTTTTCATGTGGTCGCGTTCTGTTGTTGTATGCATTTCATTCAATAGGTCTAGTTTACCACAGTCTGTCTAGCAATATTTTTTTTAAATTTTTGCAGAAGCTATTTCAATCAGATAGTCTTATCGTGTTCGACAAAAAATTGGAGACGCAGACTCAAATGACCACAAAGCAGATAATCTGTCCCGTCAAAAAGGTGCACGAGGTCTGCGACCGAAAAAGTGGACTGTGGCAACAGACTCTGGTACATTATATCCGCAAGGGCTGTCAATGCCAGAGTGTTCGCAGCGTGAAGCGAGGGAAATGTGGTAAGATTTGCCCTACATACACATATTCTCTACCTTTTCGAGGAAAACTCTACATTAGACACTGAAATGGTAGTCAGTAGTAACAGCGAGTTCTGTAGAATCACAAAGTTTATCTTGTTTAATAAGCCTCGAGACATTCCACTTCGGTTCAGGTGAAAATTAGCACAGCTTTATCTGTCATGGTGCAGACTTCATCAGACTAACGTTTAATTCAAACAAATTATCCAAGCTAAACTCGTGATTCCTTTAGAGTATGTATTATTTGCAAAGGTATGAAGACCAAGATGGTGTGGCCTTTTGTATGATCGCCGTCTCCTTTCGTTGTATACAATTTATTTTCCTTTAATTTCGCAACTTATTCATAATGATAAGAAGATCTAATGGAACACACCTAGTACGAAGTCCATAGTATGCATGATGATTTTCAGAGTCTGACCGTGGTAAAAAGATCGGCTTCACATGTCTCTTTGGCGAGTTGTAGTCTATTGCTACGAATGACAAGGCTCAATGACGATTCCGACTACGATGTCTGCGAAGCGTCTCGGAATGTACCATGTCCACGGTCATACTTTGGGGAGGTTCATGCATACAATGGACTCCGGACTAGGTGCGTACCTTCAAGTCTTCCTACCAATATGACCAAGTTGCGAAAACAAGGTCTAAAACATCTACGCAAGTGTTTCCATCACACACTTTCACTCGAAATCCTAGATTTGTGGAAGACCAACTCTTCTTCGTATAAACTAGAATTGCATAAATGAAGGGAAACGCTTATTACATCTTTTCGAGAAGAAGAGATTGATAAAGATATCCAGAGGTTTTCTTTTGTCTGTGACGGTTTATTTTTAGTGGTACACCATGCTTCGTGTTATAATTTTGCTTTTTTGCCTTGACTGCATAGAAATACTAATATGACGGATATTAAAACGACTTTAAAAGAGTCCATGATACATCTTTCGAGTAGGCCCATGTTTAGGCTGCTACGAAATGGTGTCCACATGTGGCCGAGTTCATCGTGAAGAGTTCTTTTACACCATTCGATAATGTCTGACGGCACACCACAAAACGTGTGGAAGCTGTTAGGTTCTTGCTTGTAGAATTTCTGTGGAGAACCTCAAAATGGTTAAGCTACTTACATCAAAAGATTAGACAAAATTTGGAGTGAATTAAGGGAGCATGAATTTAGGCAAGAATTATTTCGTTTAAGGTGATGAAGGACTGGTAGAAGTAGAATTTTCCCACAAATGATATGAGTTGACCTGACGTTTTCATTGAATTTTTACATAGCTTTGCTTTCCCATAAGTTGTTTTCATCCAGGGTGGACTGCAGTTTCGACCTCGCATTAGTCTTATCAACACCCTTAGCGGGAGTCGAACCGCGACAGTGCAGAATGGTATGAGAACTTTTGGAAAAGCAAGGCTCTGTAAAATTGAATGGAATCATCAGCTCAACTTATATCATTGTGGGAAAATTCTTCTTCTACCATTCCTTCATCACCTCAATCAAAATTGGCTAAATACATTTCATATTACTGATTTACTGGTAGTCACGAAAACAATACTTAATTCGAAAAAAAAATTTTAGGCAACTGTATTTCAAATGTATTTTATAACTGCCCTTCGCAAGTGCTCAGGATATACCAAAACCTCATATTGCCTCCAAGATTAAATGCCGCATTGTCGTGGTTCGACTCCCGCTGAGGGTGTTGATAAGACCAATGCGAGGTCGAAACTGAAGTCCACCCCAGCCGGGATGAGAACAACTTTTGGGAAAGCAAAGCTATGTAAAAATTCAATGGAAACGTCAGGTCAGCTCATATCATTTGTGGGAAAATTCTACTTCTACCAGTCCTTCATCACCTTAAACGAAATTGGGTGAATACATCTTATAACTGATTTACTGTTAGTCACGAAAAATAATACTTTATTCGAAAAAGTAAAGAATTATTTCATTTGATTTAGTGGCCTTTCGATGCATGTAAGTGGTCTGATCTCGTTTTCGCAACTTGGCCTTGTTGTCAGGGGGACTTAGTTGGACGCACATTGTGCGAAGTACTCTTCTGTAGTAGTCATCACCTGGGTTTTAATGAAACTCCTGAGATAAAAATGCAATTACATGAAGAATATATTCGTAAACTAATCTCGTAGCAAGACGACAGCTGATTTCCGTTGTACTAGAGCCATTTAGATTCAATATGACGTTTCGGTTGACACAGCCGACGAGAAATCCTTCCTCTTTTCGGGTGAAAACGGGCTGAGATTTCGTCCATAAAATGAGGCACATTATCAGAACTGGAACTCATTCTTGTAAAAGTGTCACGTTAACGCTAGGTCAAGAAGATCATC